AGATTTTAGTGCATTCATATAATTTTTAAAGATTCAGTAATAAATATATCATTTTGTATTATAATATTAATTAAAATAAAAATTTTTTTATAGAAAATCATATAACTATTTATATATCATTATTTAACACATATCTATTTATATTCGCTCAAGTAATTATCCTATCATAATAATCTTTATTTCATTTTTTTTTTTTCTTTTCAATAGATTATAATAATATTTTTTAAATTATATCTTAAAATTATACTTCAAAGCGTTTCTCAACTTTTTTTGATATTTCTATTTCACGTAACAATTATATTTACAATGCATACAATTTTTTTTCTTTCTCCATTTTTTTTAAGTGGTCTATCACTCACCCAATTAACGAACAAAAAATAAAACCTGGCAAAAAAAGAGAAACGAAAATGATAATAAGCCTACTTCTTAAATATTTCTATATCTTCCTAAACATATATATATTTACACACACATATAAAAAGAAAAAATAATACATAGACGTTCGACGATTCCGGAAGTTTCACATTTCTTCTTCTGTGTTTGTCCAAGTGCGCGCGACGTGCGCTTCTATAGGAGGATTGTTTTGCCACCTTTTCGAAAGAGAGAAACTCTTAGAGGGTCCTAATGCATTTCACGACGACACGATCCTCCACCCTCGTAAATTGACACCATTTCACACCCTCCCTACTATTCCTTCCTCTTATTTCTTTTTCTTTCTCACTTATTCGAGTGTTTTAACAGCTTGAAACGATACTAACCGATTTTTTCCTTTCAATTCGGAAAAACGTATCTCTGAAGTTTTCTGATCTTGACGATTAACACATTCCACACCGTGTGCATCATTTTCCTATACCTTTATTTCATTTCCTGTTCAAATAATATTTTTATCAACGATGAAGGAAGTATAAGAAATCTACAGTTCTTGGTTCGGTAAAATTTGCATTAAATACAATTATTTGTTTGTTGTGCAATGCGCAATTTTTAATTTCAACATTTATTCTTAGAATAAATAAATAAACTATCCAACAGAAAAATATATATAATTTGTTAATATGCATCAAACTTTATACCCTGTAACGTTATTGATGCACGTGGCCTGGTGATAATACTTGTTTAAAAAAAAATTATTGAACAGATGGTAAAGAAAAAGGACAAAAACTTGGGGGAAAATTATCATGAACGGATCATTCTCTTAATCTCCCTTCTTCATCATAGTTCGTTGTCTCTACATAACATGAGACGGTGTTTCTTGTTATACACATTATCGAACGTTGTGTAATATAACCTGACTCTAACTCGATTACTTCTATCTTTAGGACAAACAGTTTAAGTTCTGATCCGCTATTACCCATGCGATAACGAGAACATTAACTTGAAAATGAAATTACTCGAGAAGCATCGCGTTAGTAAATATATAGTGAAACAATAAACGACCCATTTCCATTTTAGAAGAACTAAAGGAGTAAAAAGAAACATCATTAACAAGAATAACAATTAACGTTAAAAATGTTCACTTTAACGATCACGAAAGATTTAAACCTAAAAACATAACCTAAAAATTTAAGGCAACGGTTAAATAAGGTTATTAAAGTTAGTGCAAATTTGTTGTTTTAGGGAAGGGACGGCTTTACCCGGCCTACAGTCTGAGTGGCAGCGAGGGTGAGGATAATTCCCCTAGTCTGCGTGGTCGTAGTTCAGCCTATCCTCAAAATAATCATCAGACCACCCAGTCACATCTCAATCACTATAACGCTGGTCAGCACAAGCAACGTGCTTACCAGCAGCAACAGCAGCAGCAACAGCAACAACAACAGCAACAACAGCAACAACAGCAGCAACTGCAACAACAGCATCCCCTCTATCATATGCCCGGCAGTGGCGCCGGACTCAGCGACACACCGACATCAGGCAACGCTTCTGACGAAACTCTCACAGACAGCGATCTGATCACCGCTGCTCGTGACTGCGCCCTGCTCGTTCATAACGGTGAGTGAAACGCGCCACAGCATACTTCCCAAAACGATATGGATCGTGTATAATACCTGCGATAACACGATACTCGACGCTTGTCAATCATCCAACATTTAAACGAAGTCTATATGCCCCCTATATGGGCTCTACATTATTATCAATAACAAATTATTATATCTAAGATATTTAACCCTTCCACCGCATTTTCTTTGACTATTCATATATATTTTTTTATTATTTCAAAGCTAATTAATATTGACTCCTAAAATATTAAATAATTAATGATATTTTTTTAAGATATTCAATTTATATACATATTTCAAACTAATTTTCATCATAGGTATAGATTATAAATTCGTTGATAGGTTAAGGAAACCATATTATAGAAAGATATGTGGACGCCATATTGGAAAATACAAATTTTTGTATATAGATAATATCTTGATATCAGTATGATACTTTCAAATGACATTAAAATATAATAGGTTTATATTATTATCAATAATAATTATATATTTATTAAATCGAAGATATTCAACTCTTTCACCGTTTTTTTTTTGACTATTCATATATATTTTTTTATTATTTCAAAGCTAATTAATATTGACTATCATAATACTAATTAATCAATGAAACTTTTTTGATATATTCAATTTATGTAGATATTTCAAACTAATTTTGATCACCGGTACATATTATAAACTTGTTTATAGGTTATAGGACATATACTATAGAAAGATATGTGGACGCCATATTGGAAAACACAATTTTTTGCATATACATAAAATCTTGATATCGGTATGATACTTTTAAATAACACGAAACTATAATAGGTTTATATTATTAATTTGTTAGAAAAAGCGCATTTGACATTCAGATGTGGAATTTATTTAAATTAAATGTTTATTATATCTAAAACAATTAACTTTTTATAGTATGAATTTTTTCTATGATTATTAAAAAATTCTGATAACTTAGAGAAACAATAAATATTAATGATTCAAATTTCATCCCTTTAAAAATATATTGAAACCATATTAAAGAACAGAAATTCATTGAAATACATAGAAAAATATTATTGTCGAATAGTTTTTAAACTCGTGTAGTTTTTATACATTAAAATCAATTGAAATTATTCATTTGATAGTTTACTATGGTTATGAGTGTTCTTTTCTAAATACGGCATCGTATTCTACCTCATTTTTCTTCTAAATTATGTGAATTATACGCGGTCTATCCACTCTCTTTCCTTCTATCTAGAAATTTGTCATTGGAAGCCAAAAGGTTTCCATTAAGTTTATTGCTTTTCAGAAGTTTAAATTATTCCGACATTTTTTTCCTCGCTTCGTACAGCAAACGTATACATATATCATTTTTAGGAATTATTTAAAATAATCTAGAAACTTTTTCATTAAACTTTAGGATCAACTTTCTATTCACTTTAGGATCATCTAGTTTACTATCAAAAAATAAAACATATTACATTCAACTGTCTTCAAGATCTAAACTAAAATTAATTTTCAAAATGAACAAATATCATTCAAATGTAAAAACAAATTTTAATCTTTAATAATCATATTGTCAAAACCTGTAAGATGAAAGTGGTCGCCAATGATTCCATTGTTAATATAATACGATCACTTAAAAATAAACTATTACCAAAAAAAGATGAATGCATAAAAGATTATATGCATTATCCTAAAATATTTTCCATTATATTCGAAATATCTTCAAAATTATTCAACACATTAAATAAAATAAAATCAAATAAAGCAAAATATAATATAAACATATTATTATAAATATATAAAACAAAGAAACAAACATTAATATCAAAGAACGAATAAATGTAAGAATATATTTGTAAATAATTGTTTAAGTTCAAGTAGGTTGACCAGGACAGAGTCGGTCATTCGCAATAACGCGAAATCGTGTCTCTACATTACTCAAACATGATGGATGGGTTACACTGCGATGAGGTGTGAGGCCACATGCGGGGGTTTGTCTAGGACGGGGAGGAAGGGTGTATATGGATGTGGATATAGAGAAGGGAAGGAAGCAAAAGGGGTGGGTTATCGGCACGCTGGCTTGTCAGAAATGACGTATCGCTTTGGAGCTATGTATATATGTACATAGGCCGCTTGCGTAGCTTTGCTTCTACTCTACGTTCTATACTATCCTATACCACCTTACTTGGACATACCGCACCTGGAAACCTTCCTAGTTTCCGACAAGTCACCCGAACACTTGCGCGTGAAAGGGATATATCATGGAACGTTGCTTCGTCCTATGGGATCGCTAAATTAAGAGTCCTTTGATGATACTAGAATATTATCATCCATGTTGATTTCAAATTGTCATTCGATAAATTAACATGAAATTTAACTCTATCTTAAATATTATCTATAAATTTTCATTAATATTAATATAATATTATTATACTTTACAATATTATAATTATTTTAAAATGTTAAATATTCCATATTAATTTTACATGTTTTTCACATAATGTTTATACGCATTGTTTATTATTTTGAGATATTATTTATAAAAGATTAGTTTAAAAAAGTATTTAATCATGTTAAATACATTTATCTTATTGGGTGACCACCATAGCATTCAACGTGTTACGATTTTATTCAGATAAAAATTTGAAAATTAAGCAAAGTTATAATATGTAATACTTAAATGAATATATATTTTATATTTATAAATTGTTGCTTGAAATTCTGTTTAGTTAAAAGTTTTGAAAATTATGTGAAATCAAGCGACATTAACTATTACACAGTTAAAGATTTTAAAGTAGCACAGAACTATAATACGTTATCAGTTAAAATACTGACGATAAAATTTGCATTGCATGCTGTTACTATGTTAATTAAGAATATGAAGTACTAAAATTCATCAGATACAACTCGTAGATAAATCTATTTAAAATATTTCACTTAACCATGATTTTTGATTCCTCTTCTAATTTTCCATACACATTTAAACAAAAAGTTCCTTAAAAAGAATAAAATATTATTCTTATATATTAATAAATGTATTTATATATTATATATTTTTCAAAATAAAAAAGATAATTATTTTTCAACGAAAATAGATGAACTCTTTAATCGTAGATGAAAGTCAAGTGAAAAAGATCTATGAGTCCGAAGTTCTGGTAACGTTAACGAAACGAAACGATTTCATTTTCCGGAGTAAGAGAAACACTTAACGGTGCTTTTCCGTGGAAGCACGTCGTCCATTATCACTGGGGAAACTTATAAATATGGAATAAGGTAAGATCTGTACAGAATGGTAGCGCTCTCGGTGACTAAACGAAAAATACCAGAGAGTGATTCTTACCAGATAAAAGCTAACCTTTTCCACTTAACCCAGAAGCAGTATACAACAACCAACGTACGATCCTATTTCATGGAAATAAGTAAAAGGGATGTTCGATAGGTTCATAACAATTGATAATAATCATCAATATTCTATATCAACAACAAACCTAACGCATTAGTAACTCAACTTCAGCTGAATCAGAATGACTGTTCTACGTACTACTTTAATCGAACGTACATACCAAATTGAGAACTAAAGAATAGCAAGCAAGCAAGGAAGCAAGGAAGCAAGCAAGCGGTATAAGAATGAAAAATAATCCCGAACGAATTTCAATCTCGAGCATGACGACAACATTGAGATGACGTACGCATCCTTCACTAAAAGCACATCAACAGAACGATGTGCTTATTCCTAACCATAGATATACACAACATCATCCATCATCTAACACGCCTAGATTCTACTTTCTATTCTTCCACGAGCAAATAATTCTAACCTTACCCCGCTTGGCATTGGCACCCCCAGCCCCACCCCCAGACCCTCCCGTCTTCATTCCAGCACCCCTCCTCGTGTGTCACGGACGAGACACATCCTGTGAACGCATAATACTCGTGCTCGATTCAACCTCATCTCCCATAGCCCCGTTCCTCTCGCACCCTCTCAATCTCTGTCTCTCTCTCTCTCCCCCTTCTACCCCCCCCCACCATCGTTGTACGCATAAACGCGCAATTACGTGCTATACGGATTAGCATGACAGTGGGAATCATCGTGTCATCCGGAGGGCACATTAGGCGATTGCATTAACGCTCTGCGCACAGACTGCGCTTCCGTGGATTAATATCCAACGTCTTCGATCATACCGACAGGACATTGTTTCCCTCAAAGATGAAATGCCACAACTCTCTTCTGACATGATATCGATTAACTCTATCGTGAATGTAGTATGACTTATGATCGAATATTTGTGAATCTGATTAAATCACAAACTAGAGAGATGATTCTTCATTACTTCTCATCGTTATTTATATTATTAGCATATACATGAATTACTATATAGATCGATCTATCTAAATGACTATGCTTTACTTTGCAAGCGTGACGAATTTAGCAAAGTTGTAGGGTACGTTAATGAGCCGGAAGTAATCCTTCTCTGGGTATTCATTCTAACCTCACTCACTCTCTAACTCTTCCTTACTTCGGTCATGGGGTTCCGGTTTAGGGTTATTATAAGATCCTACCACGTTAAATTCTACTTGCAAGCTTTGATAGAACGTCATCGAAAATGTTTGAACCCTCTCTTTCTCTCTCTCTCTCAATCAAGTAACCAACATCAACCGAGAAAATCATCATCCTTAGAGCTTATCGCGTACGAGAAATATTTCTTTCCCTTTCGTCTTTGTTCCATTCCATTCCCCTTATTCTTGTCTTTTTTTTTTTGCTTCCCTCCCTCCCCCTCTCAAAGTCATTTCTGTTCGTTCTTTTTAAACGAGTTATCTCGTCGTGGATAATTAATCTCACTCCCTGTATATTGCTTTCTTCCTACGGAACATTAGTTTCCTGTGTATATCTCTCATGACTCTTATTCTTCTTCTCTTTCTTTTTCTTTTTCTTATACTTCTGCTTCTTCTAATCTTTCCACCTTCATATCTCCTAACGTCATCCTGAAAATAATCTCTCGATGTCACTTGATCGAACGACCGTTCCTTGTAAATCTCCAACGAGTTCAAGCGTAATTTCAAAAAAGCAA